TCAAACATATCTTGAGCTGTAAAGAACATTAACCACAGACATAAAGTGTAGATTTTTTTTTTGTAACTCTTACAAATAAATAATAAAAACAGCTATGAAGGCATCAAATGTGTTTTATTCTTACTTGAGGTATGAGAAGAATATTTTCTACTTTGGTAACTTCTATTGAAAGTGTGGGTAAAGATGATATTGAATTTCCTTTTAACACAGTGAACACTCAGAGACATGAGTAATAATGCACGGTGACTCAGTGTCACACTACATTAGTTAATGCAAATACAGGAATGTACTGTAAATAGCATAATGCAAGGACCCTTTAATCCTACTGTATCCATGTGTAACACTCCCTCACTGCACACCGGCCTTTGTGTGCTGTTTGAAACCCGTCTCTCCACTTTGAGCCGTCTTTAAATCCTCTGCAAAGCGTTGTACTCTGCCACGTCTGTGCAGTGTGTACAGGGACGTTCATATCTGCACTTTCTCGGTACGCATTGCCCTTAAGCATAGTGAACTTCTCCCCTTCTTCCTTCAACTCAACCCCTTGAACATCGTCATGGTAACAGCCCTATTGCATAACACAGCGGCTGCACTGTAAAGCCTTGTATTTTCATCTCCTTGGCAACAGAACATCCCCCTCCTCTCTCTTAAACCCCCCTCCCCTCTGCGCTCCTTCCTGGGCACTGAGCATGCTCAGAGAACAATGCATACGCAGAGGAAACAGGAAAGGCAGCTCAGAACAGATTCACTCTTGCATACCAGAGCCTGCAGCCCCCATTGTAACCTGAGCATCTTCTTTAAGACATGCACAGGGAGTTAAGTACGAGACATCTAATACTGACATCACATTTAATGACAATTGTCTTTGCATTATGAAATATGTCTATGAAAGTTCTTATAGCTACATTTATCCTCAAGTGTTATAAAGTTGGCTAAAATGGCTCAAACTCTCAACTGTGCAGCTTTCCTTAATTACTAGTAGTGACGTGGATCACAGTTCATCTATGATCCGCTTTGGATTGGATTTGGCCGCATATGATCAGCAGATGGATGGAAAATGTATCATCAATGTGTAAAATAAATGTACAGCCGCAAAATCCCTTAACTGAAAATGAGTCCCTAATTGCGTGGTCCTCATTTCTTTTTTTGTCTGTCTCAGACAACACGTGCTGCAGGAGCAGCCTGTGCACAGACCAACAAAAATTTGCTATATGAACGGTATGTGAAGGATACGTGTTCATCATTGTCAAAGCTCATATCAGAAAGAAGAGCCCTGTTTTTGCTGGTTGCAGCAAACTTTTTATTTACTAAGGGATTTAAAATCTGAAAAACGGTCCGATCCTTCACCAAAATCTGTGATCTGATCCAAGCTGTGAGATTTGTGTTTCACCACTAGAACTACTTTTAGCTGTGTAAGACTGTGCTGCCATCAGCTGGCTGTGAGTAGGCCACGTGTTACTTCCTTCCAGACAGAGAACCCAAAAAAACTCAATCAAAGCTTTCAAAGTTAGATTTCAGAAATTCTGGGTGTCCTGAAAGCACCATATTTAGCCACAGAGAACACCGTGATGCAGCTCAACAGGCTAGGTCTCGCACTAATCTGATGCAAGCACATTAATACTACACACTCACTCACTGTGTACTTTGTACTTCCTCAAAAAGTTACCTCTGTTACACGCCTGGACACACTGAAAAGGAACTGATGGGCTTGCCTCATTAAGTTATGATGAAATGTAGAGTGAGCAAAGATGTGCTTCGCTTTTTCTGCACCAAAGACAGCCTCTCATGTGCCTTCAGCAACATCACATGCAGACTGGGGTTTGTTTATTTTTGATTAAAACTGGTAAGGAAAAGATCGACAGCAAGCAATTAAATATTTATCCTGAAAACTGGTCATTAACCTTGAGCATTATGGGATTATTAATTGGAGTTATAAAAATTGTGATATTGTAACAAATCACAAAAACACTGAATCGATTTCAAATCAGCAGTTTACATGCTGAGATTTCATTTTCAACTTTTTCAGGTAATGTTAACTCCTTTTCTCCAAAAGTACCAGGATGTTGGATGATACAGTAACTGTGATGAATACAAATGTAGTCTTTCTTTTTTTCCTAAAGGACAGCGTTCCATGTTCAGATTGCTTGTTTTATGAAACAGACAAAGGTACAGTAAATGTCATTATGACGTCAACCCTTTGTGATTTTTACTTATGAATGACTAAACTGGGACTCAAGTTACATTTATTGTTTCCAATCTGCAGATAAGTTGCATTTTGCTTGCACATAATGATGGCATAGAACTGCAAACACTTTGTGCTTATGAGTTTACATAATGCAGGAGAAAAAATGGTGTACAAAATCTTTGCAGGCTACTGTACCATTGTTCTAAAAAAAAAAAAAAAAAAAAAGGGACGATCTGTCTGTGCTCCGGATCAGATCCAAGCTCTCATCATGAGTAAGTCTTGTAGCAGCCCCCTGCTTCTCTGTACATGAGGGTATCTGCTGTTGTACAACAGTTACATGGAGGACTTTTTCCTCCCACACGCATGCACACATTCCTCTCACACAAGTGGAAAGGAAGGTCACTCATATTTCCCTCACAGAAAGCTGGCACACTTGTGTTTATATTTCAGTCTCTACACCACCTTCACCATAGCAACTCCTTGTCTTATTCTGTCATACTGTGTGGGTGTTTTTTCTGCCATTGCTGTTGTTTGTAATGCACAGAAATAATCACACTGGGCTAGATGTAAATGAGGCAGCTGAGAAACTTGAAGAAATCACAACTATGTCAGTTTTCTTAATTTGTAGAGATGCACTGATTACATTTCTCTTGCCAATTCAGATTTCAGATTGTTAACCTGGTGTGACCTGACACTACTGATTTTTAAACAATGCTGATTTTCTGTCTTTAAAGCAATAGTATTATTGACAGGCTAAGCTGTCTGGCCAGTCTGCGTACCAAAACCAGACTATAACGTGCTTATAAATTAAAGACTTCCAAACTTGTGGACTGAAATTTTGAGCTAAAAACATGGATGAGTTTGTAGCACCAATTCCGTTGATTGGATGAAAAGAATTGATATGACAGATTTTATTGATGAAGTTAGCCGGTTTAGCCTTCACTGGGTTGTGATTCAAAGTATCTACGGATGAATTAGGGTGAGGAAATAGAACCAGCCAGTGGAAAGAAAGTCAACAGTGAACAAGTCTGTACCTGGAAAAAGGTGGAGAAGTGGAATTCAACAATCAGCCATTCAGAAATTTAAACATTTCCCCACATGTGAAACTCTTACTCTTATTTTTTATCACACTTTGCTTAATTTGGAGAACAGTTGTTGTTGTCTTTAAGATGATTATCCTAATCCAACACTTGATGGCCGTAGGTAATTATCACTCTGTTTTACTCCCAAGAGTCATTACACACACCTGAACCTTCCAGCTGCTAGAAAACTGCGTTCTCAGCACAAGTGCTCGAAAGAAAACAATTTAAAAGTGCACAGTGTAAAGAAAAATTCTGGAAACCTCAAATTATGTCAGTGATCATTAAACATGTTGATACTTGTTGGTGCAAATTAGTAAAAATGACAAGCAACATCCTGAGAAGAAAAATCCTTGAGACATTTTTTTTATATGCTGACTGCTTAGAGTGTCAATAAGTAGATACATTTGTTATCTATTTCATCACACTGTGGGAAAAACCTTCCTATGACTCTTACAGCCCTTGTTTCAGCTTTGACTGGCTTTTGACCTTAAATCTCCTCTGCTGAGAAGTATGTGTGACGTGAACACAGGCACACGCTTCCTGAACTTGGTACATTCACTTATTGCTCCTCCTCTGCAACTGGCTTTACTGAAAGCAATCCATAACACTTGTGAATCCAATGCATGCAAACACGCCATGTAAATATTGTTCTTTTCTTTGTTAGATATTAAAGATTAATATTGCAAAATAAAGCTATGGCTGCCACTAATACTGAATCAGATGAATTCTTATGGTATGTCAGGGATGCATTTAAACAACTATGTGTCTAATAAAGCCAATGTTCATGTTTATATATGTTTTTATAGTCACAATTCCAAATTGCTGTCAGGTTAAAATGTGCATTACAGGAGTGAACGGGTGGGAAACCAGAGTTGCATCAGGTTTGTCTTGATCAGGAAGTGCAAGCTCATTGTTTCTTTGGCTCCCGCATGGTGCCGCACACTTTAGGTGCATTAGGTGCAGCGTCTCCAGATTTAATTTCACTGCATCCTCTCTGCTGAGTTTCAGTATTTTGGACCTATAATAGTCTCTGATTCAGCCGGGCTGTGTGTCATTGTGCTAAACTGGTCAGGTATCATTGCTGGGGAGTTTTGTTTCACTCCTACATTCCTGTTCGTTTGTTTAACACACATAGCAGCAGTCTTAGTGTTTCCATCAGAGGTATGTTTTTGCCTTTTAAGATACTGATCATTCAAACACCTATTTCCTTGCATTAAAAGCTTTCCACTTGAAAACCACAGAAGTGAAGCTGCATTTGTCACTGAAGTTAGTATGTTACTGCTGTTGATCAACAAAACTATGTCACCACATCAAGATATACGCTTCTAGTTTTTTCTGTTCTTATTTTAAAGGCTGCAGGCCACAATCCCTTACTGCAGCTGCCAATCAGCAAATCTGCGAAATGTCATCATGCTTAGTATCTTAAGCAATCTGTATTAACTGCATCATATAGCTCAAGGCACAGCTTTGTGTCCTATCCCAACCGTTTAAAAAGTGCCATCGTGGCAGCTGGTAAAGAGATATCAGGCTTCTCAAGCTTTCTGTATCAGCAAAACAGGCTTCTTTGCAGTAAAGATTCTGTCCACAACATTTCTAATAGGAAGTTAAAACTGAAGTATCACTTTTTCTGGGTATTATTATGGCTTGAAACAATGTCTTCAAGATAAAAAATGTGTTGTTTAGCTTTCCAAACCTTGAAGTCTAACTGGTGACTTTTGTGTTTTCTAAAACTTCAGCTCTGCCTACGACCGGGACAACAAGATCCGTGTGGCCATTAAGAAGATCAGCCCCTTTGAGCACCAGACGTACTGCCAACGCACCCTGAGAGAGATTAAAATCCTGCTGCGCTTCAAACATGAGAACATCATCGGTATCAACGATATCATCCGCACACCGACCATCGACCAGATGAAGGATGTGTATCCTTAAACACACCTGTGACACATTTATGATTTAGAGAATGTCATCATATATTCATGTTTGGGGCGGCAGTAGCTCAGTCTGTAGGGACCTGGGTTGGGAACCGGAGGGGTTGCTAGTTCAAGTCCTGTTGAGGACCAAATCTGGAAATTGCTCTGGTAGCTGGAAAGGTGCCAGTTCACTGCCTGAGCACTGCTGATGTGCCCTTGAGCAAGGCACAGGAGCGCTCGCTGTGGGCAGCCCCCTCACTCTGACATATTTGTATTAATGCATGACCATAGGATCCTGTTTGTGCTTTTTTTCTGTTTCAGCCTATATGTGTGCAGCATGTCTCAATAACAGAGTGTATAATTAAAGTTCCCCTCGTGGGATTAATAAAGTATACCTTATATTTATTGTTTACCTATCAGGATTTTGCTTTATGGCCTTCAGGTTACTAATCGTTTTGCTTTTGACGGTTTGCCACTGAGTTTTAATTGCTAATAGATTGTATAGACAGTGTAAATTGCTTCTTTGGGCTACCAGTGATTGGTCTCACATAGAAATTGTGGTTCAGTCTTGTTTCTCAGTTGTATTTTTATTACATAATAACCACCTGTCACCATTTATTTGGCAGAGACGCTCTTCACTGTAGCCCCGCAGCAACTATAGCAAACTTGTCGAGTCTGTAGAAACTGTCACTGTTTATTTTTATTATAAAAAGTTTCTTTAATCTAGCACCATGCAGATATATTGTCCAGGATCTCATGGAGACAGACCTGTACAAGCTTCTGAAGACTCAACACCTGAGCAATGACCACATCTGCTACTTCCTCTACCAGATCCTCAGAGGACTGAAGTACATCCACTCTGCCAACGTCCTGCACCGCGACCTTAAGCCCTCCAACCTTCTGCTCAACACCACCTGTGATCTCAAGGTAGTTTCTTAATGAGGCACTCAAACTATTCAAATTGATAATTAGTCACTGTGCTGTGTGTGGTTCCTGTGCAGGGAGGGGGGGGCATTGTTCATCTATCTTGATGAATCCAACTATTAACTGCCATTTAGCAAACAGATATAGCTTAAGATGCTGCTGTTGTTACACTGAAACATCACTTGTTGGATATAGATGTGTGCAGATGTGCCACAGTCTATGTATTTTCCTGCAATGTTGTCCAGTCTTTCTAACTGTTTTAAATCTCCTTTAAGTTTCCATTTCCCCAAAGAAACATGCAGCTTATTGTGATCTGATATCCTCTGTTGTTGTCTTTATTTTTTTCTCCAGATCTGTGACTTTGGTTTGGCTCGTGTGGCTGATCCTGACCACGATCACACTGGTTTCCTAACAGAGTATGTTGCCACTCGGTGGTACCGAGCACCTGAGATCATGCTGAACTCCAAGGTGAAGGCTGATGTGATACTCGAGCATTTTAACATACAGCCTCCAGAATTCAATACATCTGAGCCGATATCTCTGGAGTGCCGTTTTTTTACCTTATAGTAGCTCTTTCTTTTATTTAACTTCAGGTTACATTACAACTAAAACTCTAACATTAATCTTCCTTCCTTCTGAATCTTGAAGGCAATCTTATTTAGTCACACTGTTAGAGACAGACACAGGGAGGGGCACAAAGACAAAATGATGACTACAGTATAAAAAACGTAGGAAATATTTACTGATGGACTTTGTCTTACAAAGCAATTCATATAGCATGAATGAAAACAGTAATAAGATTAGTCACAGAAGTTAGTGTGTAATTCTTCTATCTGTATTCCTCTCTCAGGGCTACACCAAGTCCATAGACATCTGGTCAGTGGGTTGTATCCTGGCTGAGATGTTGTCCAACAGGCCAATCTTTCCAGGAAAGCACTACTTGGATCAGCTTAACCACATTTTGGGTAATAACTTAAGAATGCACTGTTTTATTGGAGTGGTGTGGTGCTGTAGTCTTGTGATTTTTTTAAATCTAGTTAATAGTGAAATTCTTCTTATTCGATATTGTAAAATGAATTTCATTGAAGCTGCAGTTAATAATTGAGTAACGATAGTCGAGCGCATCAGTTGCTTTATGTTGTCCTCTCAGTTGAGGCAAATGTGAGTCTGTTAAAAAACTGTAAAACAGGTTTTGTCTGCCTAAAATATTAGACATCTGTAGTCTTGAACCACATGTCAACCTCCTATCAGTAACATCAGCTTCATTTTATGCTAGACCACATGTTGCTTCTCCCAGCCGTCGTTTTGTTAGCCAGAAAACAATCAAGAAAACTTTCATTCTTAGATGAAGAATTGAAACGGAGGCATGAACAGTGCACTCTAGTCTCTAATCGGCATTGTTAATCCTCTTTCTAATCTTCTTTTCTCCCTTCAGGGATCCTGGGATCTCCTTGTCAGGAGGATCTTAACTGCATCATCAACATTAAGGCCAGGAACTATCTTTTGTCACTGCCCGCACGCTGCAAAGTGCCTTGGAACCGCCTTTTCCCCAACGCAGATCCCAAAGGTCAGGACCAGGACATCTCCTCATCCACTGGTCTTTGAATATCTAGAATATGATTCATTTAGAGAAGTTGTATCGCAGATAAGAGTTCTGGCTGCTGAAGGATTTCCTGAGAGGATTCCCGGACATTTGGATTATGCAGAGATAATCCACTTTATTGTCAATACAACAGTCAAACTTAACAGAGCAGTGTTCAGGGTTGTTAAACTGTTGACCGATCAAGTTGTAGTCACTGCAGCTCCTGTGGCTTGTGGTGGGATTCTAAGCACCCTCCTGGTAATAGCTCACGCTGAAAGAAACAACTGGAAACGCAGAATATGTTGGAAACACTCCTCAGCAAATCTTTTCCAGTGGAGAAACCAGTGACTACGAGCAAAATATTAGAGCATTATTAATCCAAATGATGATCAAATGTAGGAAAAGCAGGAGTCAGGATAAGGCCTAGAAGTAAGCAGATTTGTGGGTGCTTCTGTTTTTAACTTAAATGTTGTATCATTTCATCCTTACTGACTGACATCCAGCTGACTTTTGACCCAAAAGGAATGTCACTACTGCTTGTATTGAAATGTCCACTGTAAACCCCCTTCATGCTGATGGTGGGCTATTGTGAGCCACTGATGGGAGGAAGACCTCTATTTACTGGTCATTTATTAACAGTGTCTGAATTTTAGAACCAAATTCTCACTGTGTGATTCCTGACTGTGAACCATGTCTTTAAAGCACCAATCAGAAAGCAACATAAAGAATAAAGGGCAGGGACGACAATCCATGGGAAAGAAAACAGACAAGGATCCAACTTACATTGACAGTTCTGACTCAATCAAGCTTGGATTAAACCCATTTTACACAGTAGGGCAGTACACCTTTCTTGTCCACATTGTATAGGGAACGTTTAAGATAGATATAAAACGTTGTTATATTAGAGGGTTGAGGAGTTTGGAGGGTTAGGAGGTGCAACTTTAATCTGCAAACTGGGTGTGACAGTGCCCACCAGTGGAAAAGAAAGCTTACTGTGAACATTGTAGATTTGTAAAAAAGTCTCCACCATGTTTAACATGCTCATCCTTACTGCAGCTCTGGACCTGTTGGACAAGATGTTGACCTTTAACCCTCACAAGAGGATCGAGGTGGAGGAGGCCCTGGCGCATCCCTACCTGGAGCAATATTACGACCCCACAGATGAGGTGAGACATTCCACCTGGGCTGTTAAGATGTCACACATAAGTATTTTCTAATCAAGATAGCATCTTTTATGTTCCCGAGTTCCTTACATTTAATTGTCTCTGTGGGATCACCTCCAAAAGGGTCCACTATACATTTCCAACTACATGTCCTCTCTACTCTTTGGTGTAGCCTGTTGCTGAGGCCCCCTTCAAGTTTGACATGGAGCTGGATGACCTACCCAAAGAGACACTGAAGGGGTTCATCTTTGATGAAACTGCACGTTTCCAGCCCGGCTTTAGGTCCTAACGTCTCACACAGGTGAGTCCACATCTCAGAGAGAGAAGGAGACTGTAGCCTGGAAGAAGAAAAAAAAGTCACACAGTTCCAATGTTCATAACTACAAATTACATAACAATGTTAGCATCAGCTGCATCGAAGTCTCGAAACTTTTAAATGTCAAAGAGATCAGGGTGATCCTCAACGCTGTCCCACCTCCACCACTTTAAACACACAGTAGCATTGAGTGTTCATCAGGAAAACTACTTGAAGCTTTAAAACATGGAGTGAGTGGTGTTCCAGCCTTATAAAAACTTCTGATTCAGTCCAGCTAAATTTAACAATTCACCACATAAGAGCTGAAGTAAAGAACCCGGAGCACATGGAATATAGATTGGAATTTGACTTTAGTAGAGTGTGAAGAAGAGGCTCTTCATGAGGACAAAAGTACTCTAAAAGCCATCCATCTAAAATTGTCCTTTAAAGGAAAACAGTGAATAAAATGTCTAAAAGTCTGACAGTGGTGCTTGGATTTGTTTTGAAGGTTTAGTTCATGCTCTGGAGGATGAACTGACATTATGAACAAACATTAATGTAACCAAATGTTTCCTTTAATTACTCCTAACATTTAAAGGAATAATAACACATAGAAAATGGATCTGAGAACAGGCGTATAGAACCTTTCTAAACATCCTTCATATGCTGACTCACCCGAAACATCCTACCGGTATCTTTTTTCCAGAATGAACAGATATTTTTAGTTCTTTGTGGATCCCTCAGTACCTTCTTGTCATGTCTATTCATGGTGTTATGTGTAAGTAACTCTTGGCAGGTTTTAGACTACATTTTATTCAGGAGTCTTATATATAATATGGCTTAAAAATATATATTTTTTACACCCAATCTCAGCACAGATCTTAGCTGGTACGACCTAATGCTGGTATTATATCTGCACCCAAAATGTCCCTTCAATTTTCAAAGCTGGTTAATGTTCTTTAAAGGCACAGCACGTCGATTCCATTTTGTACGTCAATCAATACAAAAAGAAGACATCATAAGAATTCTCTGTGCCCATAAACATAGGTTTAGTCCATCTTTAATTAATTTAGATATTTGAATATACATTGTTATAAAATATTACATATTGTACATTTAGGTGTTGTCAATTGAAGTGAATGTGTCACAGCGCTCATTAAGTGGAGTGGGATGTTCTGTAAAGGGAGCTGTTGGTTCATCCAAACACTTCAGGCTCTGTTGCAGATGTTCCTGTTTTAATGTGACTTCTTGAAATCTGACAAACGGAAACGGAAACCTTCAAAACGTTTACATGGCAAGTTATTTTTGCTGTTGTTGAATGCAAGATCATATGTCACCACACAGACACCTTAATATAATAATTTAAAATAGAAAAAACCTTGTTTGCTGGAGCATTAAACAATCAATACATGGAAGTAACTGATGCCATAAAAGGCCAGGAAAGAAAGGAGCAATAGGAGACAATGTCATCATTTCTTGAACTAATGACACTCCTTAGATGTGGTGTCCTTCCCCTCCTGTTCTTTGCAAACCACCAGCTGCTCCCTGTCAGGCCTGTTGTTGTAATAATAACTGTCAGTGATACATTTTATAGCCTAAAATCCACTTTGTGCCAGCCTATGTAATTACTGTTTCCTTTCTGCAGCATTTGATCTATAACAAGAGTCCACTGAAAAAAAACAGAGTGTGAATTCTCCTAAATTAGAGCGACTCTGCCATTTCTGTAAAGCTTTCAAATGTATTTTCACTCTTTTAAATCACATTTCACTACTGTTCATTTCTGTAAATGTATCTTTAAATCGACGAACAAGTAGTCGTTTGCAGCTCAATAAGGTTGTAGCCAATGAAATCCATGTGCTAGTGGTGAAGAAATTGGATCTGCGAGTGTTTTCTGAAGTTGCAGTGCATTAAGCTCTGAAGGCCCCTTGACATACAACAAAATAAATACTTAGTATGTCAATTCAATAAATGACTAAAAACCAAAGTACATCTGTGACCGCTCATCACCTGGTCACTGCTTCTCCTTTTCAGATGATTCTGTGGACTGGCTTCTGCGTTGCCACTGCTCCTCCCTGCCTCCACACTGTTGCTGTGATGGGTTTTTTCTTCTTCTTTTTCTCCCCCCCCCCCCTCCCTGTTGTCCACATCACCTGGATTCCTTGGGTCTCACTCGTCAAGTCCACTTTGCTCAGGAATGGCATCAGGAATCAATCAATCGATCATCCTCTGTATCTCTTTCTTTCTCTCTCTCTCTCTCTCTCTCTCTCTCTCTCTCTCTCTGAAGTGAAGGGGTATGGGAGAGGAAGGAAGGGGGGGTATTCACATCACAGCTTAAAGTTTGGGGGTGGGGTGATTTTGTGTTTCAAGCCAAGATAAACAAGTTGCGTGTGTGCGTGTGTGTGCGTGTGTCTCAAAGGCGTTTGGCTCTGGCTATTCCTATTCTAGACCTTCTCTGTCTGGTTGAATGGCAGTGATAGATTAGCTGTTGTGTTTTCAGTGCCGCTGTTGTTGTTATAACTCTGCCTACATTGCACAAACAACAGAAGATTACTTATGAGAATCATCCATCATTAAATTAAAAGGTCTTTCAGATTTTCTAACCTCTGTCGCACTGTTACAAGGGATACCTTGGTCTCGATCTTTATTCTCTCTTTAGAAAAAAAATCCCATATTGATTTATGCAATGAAATCACATTATCAGCCAGATACTTTCGAGGCCACAAGCTGTCACTTGGTGTGGATGAGGAGCTATAGTTTAACCAAGACCTTGTACTTTAATTCTTGACACATACAAAAGCCCAAATGCAAATATATACATATGAATATAAAAAAAATCATTATAAATATATATATACACAGCCCAAAGAGTCTTAACATATAATGAAGGCAGGAGTGAAGATAGAAGGTGAGACAAATAAGTTTCTAACCTTTCTTTTCTCTGTATTATAAACGTAAAAAACGCCCGTTTTCATTTCTTGCCGGCTTCAGTAAGATGTCAGTTTGTGTATAAATGCGTATAATTGAAAGGTTTCCCTATCAGTGTCTGCCTTAGCCATAAGAAACTAAAAGGAAAAGTCTGTTTATCTCATACAAGTCTGTATGTACAGTCAAATATGTTCTTTAAAAGTTCAATTAACTGTGTCAGGACAAGAACTCAGTGATCAGATTGGATCCTGTGTGTCCGGAGAAAAATGTTGCCAGGCCTCCTTCTTTGTCCTGTTTCATGGTTTCTCTTTCTTCTGTCTCTGTTAATCTCTCGCCTTGTTTAAAAAAAACAAAAAAAACTGTGCCCTTTGCATGACTGTTAAAAGCTCGGTATACAAAGACGACCATGTTAAAGTGCCACACGCGCCAGGCCGCCCAGGCTCTTTGTGTTCCACCTTTTGTGGTATATCACGTTAACTAATCACATGGTGCTTTTTGTTATCTTTCTTTAGCTTCAGCACTCATCCTTCCGTTTCCATCCAAGCTCCATCTGCATGCTGACGTCATCATGTGGTTGCAAATAGGAGAATAACTATAAACTGTTTGTATTTATTACAATTGCAAAACATAGAAATGTGTTTTTCCCAACCTGAGAAAGAGTTAAAAATAATACTCAAAAGGTATCACATCATGTTTTCTGTTTAATCCATAGGCCATATCATTGGGTGAGCCAGACAGCTGCAGTAGAGTTTATGTAAAGCAGAGCTTAAGTTAAAACCTATTTTGAATCCTTTTCAGTAACTACTAAATGAAGACTGTTGAATTTACACATTTTCTTTTTAAAGACGAGGATTTATGACTTTCAAGATTCTATATGTTGTAACAGAGAAGCCAGAAGCCCTGAGCTTCATCAAACAACTTGATCTTAGTATCACTGCAGCATCCAACAGCTGTCTTTTCATGTTGAACACAACAGGGCCTCAAATAGACATCGTTCACCTAGGCTAGCATCATCATTGACTAATGCTTGGCTGATAGAATTATGGAACAAAAAACAGTATTATTAAGACATTAAAGCATCTTTAAGTACAATACTGTCAACATTTATTTAAATCAATTGTTTTTAGAATCTGTCTGCTGGCACTTCAAATTGAAATTTTAATGACAAATTGGAACAACTATCGACTGCTTAGGTTGATTTACATTCTTCCCAAAAAACCTCAACAGTTGTTTTGTGGGAAAGAAAATGCCCAAGCTGTAAGCTCAAGATCTTTATGTTTCTGTCAGATGTTATTTACCTTAAATTCAACTTTTTGTTCTCCTTGAAACATATGTTTCTCTGAGGGCCAAGATGCTCTGTCAGATTCAATCACAGTGGACAGAGCCAAAGAACCAGTTAAACGTCATGTTGTGTTTTTTTTTTTTTACTTCTGATTAATGTCGACTCAGACCGAGTAGGGGCTATCAGAGCGCACTAAAGCTCTGCTGTTACACTCTCAAGCCATAATGGGTCAGTCTGTAAGTCTGCTGCACCTCTGACCACGCCCACCCAGTGATGTCACCATGTACTGACACACCCATGAGTTACACATCTACATCACTGCAGCCAAGTGAGACTTTAAACCACTGAAAGTTAGCAAGTTGGGATTTAAGGACGTTACATGTACCTAACTTAAGAAAAGCTAACCTGATGACAAAAAAAGAATCATTTTTCTGTAAATCCTTATCATTCCCAGCTGGTTTCCTCGTGAGAGACATGTAATTTGGTACTAATTGTAAGTAATTCAGAGTCTATGTTTAACAGGGCTACAACAAATAATAATTTCTGTCTTTCTTGTTCATTACAAATGTCCAGATCGCTCACAAGATCGCTCTTTTTTTTTTTAATCCCATCCCCAGTTTAAAACCAGAGTTATCTGTGATTTTAAACACAGGAACTCCTCATACGACAAGCTGTAACCAGCAAATGTTTAGTATTTTTCCCCAGATAAAAGACAGAATCTGTAATGGTTCATTTATATTCGATCATCTAATCAATTTCTGAAGTAATTTTTTCTCCTTTTTGTTTTATTGATCCACTTCGATTAAATCATTCTAAATAAGAGTTGTGACAGCATTCTACAGAACAAATCACAGTTGGCAATATGAACATGAACATTCAAGAACCCAGAATCTGTCAGCATAGAAGAAAATTCAAGTTTAAGATCATACATTTCAGTATAAATTAAATTAAGACAAATCACTAAAAATCAACTCACTTTACACAGTAGATAACATTTTTTTAAAAACTGTTTAAATCTTCACTTTCTGTTTGATTAGTGAGAAATGAAACACTGTTTTGAATGAAACCTTTTTCAATGAAATTAAATATTTGGATCAAATCGACCTGTTTCAGTCAGTTACGTTAAACTCGCATGATGATGATGATGATGACATTTGAAAACAGACCAAACCTCCATAGAAGAAATAACCTTTTTTACACTCATAGATCTCCTCCTCGTCTCTGTATCCTCCCGTCTGTCACACACATACACGATGATTAAATGCACTTGCTTCTACAGTAGTTGGGATGGGCGTTGTAATCCGAGGTGCCTGCCGGGACTTGACTTACCTGTAGATAGACTTTGGGGGGGGGGGGGGGTTAGTTTTAACATTTAGGGCACTAAAAACCTTACTGGGATTAGTTGTATAAAAAAAAAGCTTCTGCTGAGTTCTTTGTGCAACCTGTCTGTTTGTGCCTTTTTTGATAGTCTTGATATCCAAGATTTTGATGTGCAGCTTTTGTTTAGTCGGGAATCCGTTGTAATTGCAGTATACGCTCTTTGAAAATGAACACAATCAAGTCTGTGGGTTTGGGCGGGATCATGGCCGGGTATATCCTTATCTTTCAGTTATTGTAAATTTTAAAGAGATTTGTTGCCACAGCTGTGTGATTTGTGACTGTATTGAAAAGATGAAAAGCAAACATTTATATTTTTTGCGTTACCCTTTTTTCCTTGAACCTTTTTTTTTTTCTTTTTTGGATGTTTTTGTGCAGATATTTTTATTGTAAAATGAATGTTATGTTTCTATCAGACACTAATCTTGTTTGAGTTGTCTCCAGTGGAACTCCTTCACTCTGTATGTTTTGATCAGTATAAACCTTTAATTGTGTAGTTAAACATTTCTGAAAGAGATAAAAAAAAAATTAAAAAAATAAGATCCTTGGTTGTATTTGAAAGGTTCCTGTTTGACCTGCCATAGAAACTGTTTGAAATGATCGGTCAGTTTATTTTTTGCTGTCGTTTGAAGGATTTGACCGGAACAAGGCATTTCTTTGCTATTATCAAAGACTGACTGCCACTAGAGAAATCTTTTTTTTTTTTTATGCTTATCTTTTCTTTTTTCTGTTTTGCAACTCTGTCATGTCATTTAAATAGACGTTCATTAAAGACATCGTACCTTCATTAACATCTCTGAGGTCTCTTTGTTGGAGACGCATTTCAACTGGCATGTTCACAACAGTAAGCATTAGAGACGACTTCTATACCTGCTGTCTGCATCAATCCTTGCAGTACATACAAGAGTGCAAAATAAAAGTTTCAAGGAGCGACACAGTATACAAATAAATGTGTTTAATGAAATGAGTGAAAATTCTTAATAAAAATGCTGTATTACTCCAAAAAACCCGACGTGTGCCCTTTTTTGTCTATCACTTTGTTTTCATTCTCAGCATTTAAGGGAATGGTCTGACACTTTAGGAAAAGGACTTATTGGCTTCATTGTGAGGAATTACAAAGTGCATTCTAGATATGGATCTAGAGAAAGCAGCCTTTAGATTAGCTTATTTTAGCATCTTAGCATGTCATGTCCAAAAGAGAAAACATTCTGAATCTTATCTCTTCAGCTCATTTAACAACATCTTGGGTTTGGCTAAAACAACATTGCTTTATCTTAGTATGTGGACATGTGCTGGACTACTTCTAGGTCAGGACCTCTGTTGCAATAGTTCTGAAACGTGTCTGTGTTAGGAAAGTTTTTGCACAACAAACTTGAACGTTTATTCCTGCTGCCATATTACTGTTCTTTTTTTTTTCCACTAATGGTACAATTGTTTTCCATCAAAGTAAACTCAAATTGCCAAAGTAAAAGTACTAATACTTCACGATCTCAGAAGAAAATAAACATTGGAAAATAATAATTGATGCACTTGTGTACCACACATAAAAGTTGTAGCTGTTCAACGATAGGCTGATTTCATTGATTTCATGAACTACCCAAAGGGGTAGAACTATATTTTTATGTTCATAATATTACATCATTGGCTTGTTCAAAATTGTTGGTAATTTCAGTATGAAAGCAATTAAATTATAAATAAGTGTAGTTTTGTAAATGTAATATTGTTTGATTACAGCACTTCAGTAAATGAGCTTATTACTGTGCACTAACAAAGTTTGTAATGCTTCCTTCTGAGATAAGTTCTCACTGTCATCACATGACGTAAACTCCCATTATTCCGCTTCCTTTTAAAGGTATTGAAATCCAAGGACAAGGCAATGCTGTGTAACGGTATCACAATTACTTTTTTTTAAATCAAGCTGTGAAAATGATGAATGTGTCTGTAAGGAGTTGAACATTAAATGCTGAAGTCTCATTTTTTACAGATGACGTCACACCAAAAAAAAAAAAACTACAAGTCCTGATTTTCCTCAGATGGTTATTTACAGTCTATAGAAGGAGCAATCCCACTCATACTGTGTTGTAGGGGCGCAGTGCCACTGTGTCCTTTTGGGGGCGCTGTCGTCCTTGCTAATAAAATGTACTGCAGTGTGTCCTTGATCCGCTCAGCAGCCTGATTCATAAATTAGTGCCATTCACGTTTAGCTGACAAGCTTTAACAAGGTCACAGCTGAATGTTTAGTTTTTATTTTATTTTGTATTGCTCTGCTATACAGACAAACAGGCGAAATACAAATGTATAGCCAAGTAAATTTAAAAAAAAAAAGAATGATAGTAGTACAAGTTGATTTAAAAAAAAAAAAAAAAAAAAAGTAATACCTTTTTATGAAATTGTTTCCAACCTACTAGTGGATGAAATGCATCATTTTTGCTATTAGTTCAATATAAGTGACTAAACTACATTAAAAACAACCGTACACGACACCAATCAACTACATAGATTTCGGGGGTCGTTTGTTTACCTGCTAGTCTTGACCACGTGCTTGCAATGCGGCCACGCATGCGCCCAACAGCGGATTGACTTTTGGCACGCGTCTTGTGTCGGTGGCGCGCACAGCTAAAAACAAGCTCCAGCCTCAAGAGCGCGCTGCGAAGTCTACAGCCTTTCGTTGATTGGCTGTGAAACTTGGCCCCGCCCGTCGTTGCAGCGGATTGGCCAGACGGGGATTCTTCTGCCCACTTATTGGACGCTATTTGTAGAACTGGCTGTGTAGCTAGGCTACTGTTGCCTTCAGGTACACCTGGCGAAATCAAGGGGAAAAAATACGAAGGCTTACGCTTTTTTTTTTTTTTGTTATGGTCAGAATAAAAGCAGCTGGACGTCTTCATGCACACTCTGTGTTTATACTATACGTGGTTTTAAGAGCTAAGCGATTAGTAAAGACTTATAATAAAATAAAAGGCTAAAAGTGGTATTTAACATAATTGTAACAAGTCCCAGCAGCTGCTGTTGGTGTCGAGAGTTTATAGGCTGGACCTACTGTTACAAGCTTCATAAACAAGTAGACTGGTTTTTACTAGTCTATGGTTCCACCTCAGTTTTACTTCACAATTTCTGTAAGGCTTCTTATAGTTCTAATGTTTGTGGTTTAGGCTACACAGACCTTCAGCCTAGGCCTATTTGTTTTTTGTTTTTCCTGTAGGCTCGATTGTTTCTGATTATTGGCATCCATGCTTCTTAAGGATTCGTGTTTCAGCTGGTCGCCAAACGATGTTTTCATGTGATATGATGAACAGTTCACATGTGTCACAAGTTGTTTTCTTGTGCGCAAAATTCAGAAACCTTTCATTTCCAGCAGCACGTAAATGCAGCAGCAGTATTAGATAAAACATTGTTGTTGTTGTTGTTGTTTTTTTCTGCACTTAAAGTTTGAGTTTCATCCTAAAACCAGCACACACACATTGAGTCCTGATGAAAGTGCACACCCTCTGTTCCACATCAGAGAGTTTTCTGTGACAGATAATGCTTGTCGGATGTGTTTGTGCATTATTCAAAGCGCGCTGCGCATCACAGAGCTAATTAGGATTTCAGTATAAATAAGGCCGCAGACGGGACAGCTCGGCCTGTCCTGCCGCTGATGTCGGAGAGCTGAAGGTATACTTAGAGGTTAAAACGCTTCAAAATCTCCAAGCTGCTCCATCATGCAAACACTCTGACCCACCTCACGGATGGGACCCTTCTCAAACCAGACCTACGGAGGAATCCCGCAGATTTCAAGCTGTACGCAGTCTTTCGCCAATGAAGACACAGCGAGAAGATTTGATGTTTTAGGATACTTTTTAATGGCACTCGGCCCCAGCTAGACAGAGTGCTGCTACCTTTATGGGACGAAGGTGAAGGTGTCTTTAATTTATATAGTTTGAGCTGACATCCAGACTCCAGCAACTCCAGCGGGCTCCTCTCCGGGTTGTTTTGGGTTTTCCGATGGAGGGACTGCGAAGGGTTTCTGGGGTAAGTGCAAGAAACCAGTGACCTGCTGGAGGACACGCGTGTTCATTTTAGTTCAACCACAGAGCAGCTGTAACTGCTTTATTAACACCTAAAAGACGTGTGTGCGGTTTGTTGCTGCTTGTTTCAGACATTGTATTGTGCTGTTTTGTGATGCACCAAGGGATTTGTAGTTTCTCTACCCTATATTTATAAATTCATCAAGAGGATTAGGCTACTTGTGTTCTGGGTTGCACGCAAAGCCTGTAAGACTGTAAAACGCATGAAAAACAGTTTAACATAGTAAGGACTCGTGATATTTGTGAGCTCATTTGGAAGTTTCCTGTGCCTCCGTGTTGGCGGGTTTGTGTAGATCTACGATACCACTCTTTTGAATTAATTGTTAGATTTAGGCGTCTCCTTTCTTTGATCAGACACCTTTTTTTTTTTTGCCATTTGATCTCCGTGTTCAACATGCACTATTCCATGCAGCCCCATTCATCCGATCGCTTGCGCTATCACTGTTATGATCAGCGTCATCGGGTGCACGGCTGCAGATCTCGGTCAGTGTTTTGAAGAGGGAGGGCTTATGATGCCACGTGAACAAGCGACAAAAACACAGCGAAAAAAGATGGATTTCATAACCTGCACTGAGGGAAGCTGCAGTGTGCAATGTTGTGTTTAACACGCATCCTACAGCGAAGTATCTCTTTTCACGGTTTCAATGTCATGCAATATGTTCGTGCTTGCGCTTTCAAAAACTAGTGTGTCGATGAGAGGAAATATGAAAAAAGAAAAAGAGTCCAAACATTGTTTTTGTTGTAGTCTTTAAGCTGGGTGGAAGCTATAGGTCTGATCGCCTACATCCATTTTATTTTGAAAGGTTTTTATAATAGCCTACATAATTGCCATAATTCATTATTACATATCAGGCATGGATGTGTTCAATGTCAACATGTCAGTGTGTGAAAGACTGACACATAAACAGTGCAGCAGCAGGAGGAGGAGGTGGGGTGGGCATACTGCTTTTTTGTTTTGTTTTTTATTCTATTAAATTCTTTATTTTTTAAATAGAAGAATGTCTGACACACCAAAGCTAAAAAAAAACAGCTTACTCGAAGAGAGATCTATTGATCCGTTTCTAAAATTACCTAATAGGGCCAGGCTTGTTTTGGCTAAGAACCTCGGAGAGCTGTGTGGCTGCAGGTTTTCAGGGAAACAAATCTTTTGTGGTTTCTTATATTGACATCTCCTTGTTTTTCTCAACCCAGCCTATAGGCCTACTGTATTCCTACTGCAGATTGTATAGCTTTGTTTAATAACCTTTATAAACATGTCGGGATCCTGTGCATAAACTGATTTGATTAATATCTCAAACATGCAGTTCAAAGACTGATAATCTTCAAATAGAAAACAGAATCATTACACTGAATTGGATTGTGTGATAAATGTGAAGAAAACGAGCGGGTATCAAACTTGAAATTGTCTTTGTTTACGATCAAGAATCCAGGGGTCGAACTCAAGCATGACAAACATAAACTATTATTTTTCACAAGAGAAAGAAAAGGAGTCAGATTCATATTCTCAGCTTGTATTTATTTACACATCCGGGTGTCTGCGCGTTCCCTCTTTCCTCCTCAGGCGCGTTCACGCCGCATGGGAAATAATATCTCCCGCAATAACTAAACAATAACTGTCAGACATGTAGGCCTATTGTTGAGAAACCAAATATGTTATTTTCTTTTTTTACTTTTAATAAATGATTCTTGACTTGGTCTTTCTGGCGTGCAGATACTTTAAATGTGATGCACCACTTCAAGGTTTAATGCAGACTAAACATAAAGGAAAGAAATTGCCTGGGCCTACTTATGTCAGAAATAAAAAAAATAAAAAATTGACTTTTACCTCAAATTTCTTCAAGTCTTATGTTTTACTTTCCAAAGTCAACAACCTGCAGCCTGGTCAAATCATGTAAGGAATAAACGCAACTGATCTTTTATTATTTAAAGGTCACAAAAGAAGCACTTTTAAACAACAACAACAACAACAACAACAACAACTGTATAATGCACAACAATAGGCCTATAATAACAACTGAATCCTGAAGTTGGAGTTAAAGGAAACATTCACAGAACCTACTTTAGTTTGGGATTATAGTTGACATTAAGGTAGGGAAACTGAAATAGAGGAACAAATATATTGTACAGAGAAGTATCCTAAAAAAAACCTGATACATTTGAATCATCTTATATACACTATACAAATTTATCATGAGTAGGCTAAATAAAAAAATAAATAAAAAAACATTTATTCCAAAAAATAATCAGATACAATAACTTCAATTAATGGAATAGAACTAGTTAATCAGAAAATAGATGCATTAAAAAGAAATATAGAAATACGTATATTTTATTTCCACCTGAATACTATATTCTTAACCTGGTTTCCATCTTTCCCACGGGAGCCTGAAGGCAGCGCTGTCACCCGTTGGCCAGCCCGCCTGTCAATCTCAGGTCCATCTCCCTCCCACGTGGTGACGTTTCCGTACCAAAGTAACGAAGCCAGTCCATTATGCACACAAAAGACACAACAAAAGCCCGTGTTGGGAAAAATGAGATCCGTCAGCACCCAAAAGATACAACAATAAGTTCCCATCTGGCAGCATCACACATGGACCAGAGCCTGGGACGACGACAATCATTTATTTAACTCCAAAAAAAAAAAGATCTTCAGAAAGCAGTTTTCAACCAGGCTGCCTTTCGCTCAGATCTGATCCAGGTGGTGAGTACAGCAGCAGGGCAATGTTTACATCCAAATTAAAGGGAAAAAAAAAAAATTCCTAGAAAAGCAGTAAACGTGTTTCTGGTGTCGTGCTGGATTCAAAGGCTGCATCAGGCTCGGAGATAAAAACAAAGAGTTTAAAGAACAGCGACACTGTTGCTCTTGAGCTGGCGTCGTGCTCTTTGTTGGAGGTATACTCATTTGGAAGAGAGGATGGATGAAGAAAAACCGGAATTACTGAGTTTGCGAATGCTTGTCATGTGAAGATGAACTTGTTTAGAATAAGAAAAATAGCATGAAAACGCATGTTGTGTTGTAAAAGTGTTGCTTTTTTTTGGCTAGATTCGGTGGAGTCCTTTGTCTGGACACTTCTTCCTGTTAGTGGAGACGCACAGTGTGCTGCCTCTTTTTGTTTTGCTCAGTTTGAACATCAGCTGTTCCTGTTGTGTTTACCTGTCGACTAAACTCATGTCGCCTTTATATTGAGTGTTTGCTTTGTTTATCTTCGACATATCATAATGTTAAGCAAAATTTAAACTGTTGCCAGGTGCGGAAGAAGACTGAAACAAAGGAGGCATGAACTTCAGAGCCAGACATTAACTTTTGAACATTATAGACATCTGTCTTACTTTTTTTTTTTTAAAAGTCTAATAGTTGGCACCAAAAGTGCTAAAAAAATCTAACAAAACTGACCCAAAATAAAACCATGTGCTGTCACATGCCTGGAGTCTATAACTTGTCTTCAAAAGGGGAATCAAAGCAAAGAAACAATACAAGAGTTCCAGAAATGTGGCAACTTGTCTTATTAGGCTTTTATAAGGACAAAAGCAAGGTTTCTGCGTCATATCAGTCCCTCAATGCGTGTGTTGGGGGGGGGGGGTGCAAATAACAGCATGCATTGTCTGTGCGTGAATGACAATCTTGTCTAAATGGATGCACTACTCAAAGCTGATACCACCAATGTTGATGATGCTGAAGTGTGACACTTTAGACAGCTCTCTGTGTGTGTGTGTGTTTACCTTTCCCCTGTGCACGTGTGGCGGAGGTTAAACTTGGCTAATTCAGAGAGGGGATTTTCTCCTTTTCATAGAGGGATTAAGCCTTGGGCACCTGTGCAGATTATACAGTATGTATGTAAATATGGCTTGTCTGGGGCCACTGGGTCGAGCTGCCTGTTGTCACCTCTGCACCTTCCAAGCTGTGTAAGAGTGTGTGTGTGTGTGTGTGTTTATACCTATTGTGTGTGTTTGCAGAGCAGTCATGCTGAACGTCACGGCTGCTTCCTGTTGAGTCGCGGAAGCTCCTTTGTTTTCTCGTCTGGCTGCTGGCTGCTGTCTCGGCGCTGCTCTTCCTGTTGCAGCACATTGAGCACGACTGGAAACTTCTGGAGCTGCTGAAGCTCAATCTCTTTGTGTTTTCACACTCAGGGATGCAGCATTGCCTATTGTTGTCATTTTGTGACAAGGTGCGATCTGTTGTGAAGGTTTGTTGTTGGTAACGGTGGCTGTTGAGCCGGTGGGCTGATCTATACAATGTAGTATTAAGACAAAGACTTCGTTTCACACAACAGGTAGTTGTTGTTTTTTTTTCTCATTTCAGCGCCCAGATTGTCAGCCAAAAGATGTAAATAAAGACTGCCTTTTAAAGTGTCGATCATTTGTTCGAAGAGATTAAAACTAGTTTAAAATACACATCAGGTTGCAAAATATGGATTTCAGAAAGTGTAATTTGTTGACAACCATATGAATACATTATAGACCAAGCTGAAGTGGAGCTCTAAAGAAGAACTGCTTTTCTTTTTTATCCCTTGATTACTATTGTAAGTTTCTGATTGGTCTTTACTTGGGGGGGGGGAGAGATGGCAATGTGTTCAGTTAATAAAAAGAAGACAACTGTGGTGCATAGGATAAATTGCACCACCTATAGGCTGTTTGATTGTTCTCAACAACAAAAGAAACAAGACGTCATAGTCCCACATACACTGCTTGAGTGACAGATCCATAGCAACTGCACAGCCCTTTCACTACTGGAGAAAGTCATGATTACTTTGAATGTAAGTAAAGGTATCGTAATAAACTAATTCAAACAAACAAATGATGAGGTCTACTTGAATCTTTACATCAGTTGTAACTGGTGTGTGAGGCTACAGATCCAACTTAAAGAGGTAGCATTAGCTTGTTAATATGCTAATACTTCTTTAAAGTAAAAGAAAAAATTGAATTATGTTGCTATAACTGACTTGGGAGTTTTTAATACCTAAATGTTAGCTGTATTGTAATTCAGTTTCACAAAAATAAAACAACTTGCCTACAATTACAAACATTTTGTTCATTATATTTGACTAAATGAGAGGCGACAGGTAGTTTGTTAAGTTTCATTATATATTCCTGCCTCATTCTTAACTTTATGAACATTATTAAGTCTAAAAAAACTAATTTATGCCACGCTAGATTGTTATGCTCCAGTGGCTTCCTGTTTACTTTGAGTATTGATCTTGACTGGGCAGTTCTGCACTTGTTTCCTAGCAACCAGTATAAGCATTAGCCTATCAAAGTCTTGAATTGTTTGAAACTAGCTTGAAGTTGTGAATGGACTGTGAATTCAAACTCGCTGACTTTGTGGACGACTGGTGCGACACAGTGCTGCTCGCAAAAGCCAATTAAGGTAAAAGCCCAAAATGTAATCTGTAATAGGCTAATGTACCTTATGAATCAAACGTAGACTGGAATGGCCCCTGCTCTGTTTCACATGACATATCAATACAGAGCTTAAGTTTACTCAGCTAAAGACAAAGTCAGACAGAGGAAGCTGCTAGCTGCTGAAAAAGGTGTCGCATTTAGCTAAACAGAGAGAGTCTATCTTTCAGGCGTTGTTTGAGACCAAAACAGAGATGACAGGAAGTGTTAAAACAGGACGAAAAATGGCATCATTTTGAAATGTGTTTAAAAACTATGCTAATGTTACAGTGAGTTGACTTAATGATACGCAGCCTTTTTGCTAACACGACACTGTTACAGCTTTATAGGACCATAATATGTCAGGTTTTGTATTTGTAGCTTGTACGTCTGCCCCTAAAGTAAACAGAAAAATCACTTACTGCAACTTCTTCCATCAATATGTCAAACTTTATTTGTACAGCAGCAACATTACTGTAAAAACATTTATATCTACAGAAAATCAACAGGCCATGCAGATAACTATGAATCTAGAAGTAAAAGATGAAATGGTCAGAAAAAGGCAAATTTGAAAAATTATTTTATTTTAAAGATAGACTATAGAAAAAGACAGTTAAATATGTAAAATGTGGTAAAAGTAATCTACTTAGTTACTTCACATGACTGCAAAACAGGTCAACTGTAACTTGAGCTTATTGTGTTTAAATCCCGCCTGATTAAACTAAATATAAGCTAAGTGCTTAACACATCAATACAGTGAAGATCAATTAACACGATCTAACACAATATAACTGAAACAAACCACGGACAAATAAACTAGTTAAAGCACAGCAAACCTCTGAAACCTCAAACCCCAGAGTCCACTTAAAGCAGCCAAACAGCCATTGTCTCTGAACCCAGAGAGCAACAGGAACAACAGCAGTGTGAAATATTTCCTTTGACAGCTGAGCCTTTTAGTTCTCCCTCGCTGTAAACCACGAACACAAACAAAATGATTAATGATCATAAATCAGTGGATGACATGCATATAAGTAGAGGGCCTTGGGTGGCATGGAGACAGCATCAATTTAAAGTGAAGCAGAGAGTGGTGGATTTTTTTAAATATAGAAATACGGTATCATAAATAAAAATAGTCTGATTGATGATGTTGTCTCCAGGTGTGATTTTTAAATAGATAGAATTTCTTTTTTTTTGTATGCCTTAAAGTTATACTTTGTAAACTGGAAAAACACAAAGTTGCACAAAAGGTCCAGCTGAATTTCTGCGCTTGTGTTTCACCTGCTCCTGTTTTTGTCAATCTGAACCCCTTTTTTAAAAAGGTTGCACCCTCATATTGTCTTGGCTGCATTGTCTCATCGTCTATTCTAGTCTGGCCTGTATATGAACTGAGCTGGTGTGCATTTGCTGCTGTGCAGCTGAATCTCCAGCAGACCTGAAACATTTATCCCAGCCTGTTTAGAGATATTTGTGTCTCTTCATGTGATAATCATCTCTAAATAGCTTTTAGTTTGATTTTCACTTTGGATTAAACTGATTATTAAGAACTAGAATTTTTTTTTTTTGGGTTGGGGGATATTTTAAGTTTTGTTTTTCATTGTTTGTACTTCAAAGCAGCTAGAAGCATGAGCAGTCAGATGATCAGCAAAGATTGTAAACAAACCCTGAGGTTAGCAAAAAAAAGAAATTCTCACACGGTCTCCTGCTTTCACTTACACCTACAGTACTTTGTGGTTGATAACAGTTTTCCTGCAATGAAATGACAGGTTTGTCAACATATCAGGTGCTTTCACTTTTATGTTTCACAGTCAAACAACGAAGGTTTTATTATTTGACTATGACTTTGTCTTTGCAATGCAACCATATTCACGATGTCTTTTCATCCTAATCGATCAAATGTATCCAAGTTGCAAAAAATGCTAGTATATGCATATTTTTGTTCTACTCTCACAAAAATTATCAACACATATGTAACTACTGATGATGACGTTTCCTCATTATATTGACTGACAAATGTTAAGGGTTTAAGTACTCATATTTATCAATGGTTTAAAGTTATATTTATTTATGGTAAATAAACTCGATAGCAAAATATTAATAAAAAAATATTTAACACAGAAATAATTGTCCTGTAATTCCAAGTAAAACTCAAACTTTATAATACAACAACTGTTCTTCAGTGGTTTTGGGTTTCCTGAAACATTTCAGGATTTCCTGGACAGAAAAAAGAAGATTAAATTTCAATATTCTCCACCTGCATCCATCAGTTCAGTGGAACAAAACAAACACACGCTTGTTTCTGTTGAAACTATGGAAATTAAAGCAATGAGATAAGTTATGTGGTTTAACATAAGCAATGTTTTGTTTGGCATGTCATAATTATAAGTTACATCAGCACTCTGCCATGTTGGTATGGTCAACAACATGCCATTGTTATCACATAATAGATCACTGTAATCAAATGATTGCTAACGACATGTGTTTATATTGGAGATGCAATCTAGATCATGAGTTCAGAAAGTGAATGTGTCTCTCACCACACCTCTTCCCTTTCCCTTTCTGCCCCCGCAGGTTTGAATTTCTCCTGTGGTGTCTGTGTGGAGCGTGCCACACACCCACTCCACAACAACGACGGCTTTTGCTTGCATCTTCCAGTGTTTCTTCTGTCAGCAAGTCCAGCAGAGCTGCAACTCTTCCAGTGCCAGCCCTGACACCTGCGAAGAGCCCTGCCCAACTGACATGGTGAAGATGACCAAGTCGAAGACTTTCCAGGCTTACCTGCCCTCCTGCCACCGCACCTACAGCTGCATCCACTGCCGGGCACATCTGGCCAACCACGACGAGCTCATCTCAAAGGTATGACAGCTGCCCGTGAGTTCACATCCAGTCTATCCTGTCCTTCACATATGACACCCTGCAGCGTTTCACGTGTCATTCAACATGTCTCTTTTTATTTATTTACAGTTCATATAAAAAGACTACAGGGACTTTATAGATGTGTCATAAATCTCCCAGTAGCCACATTTGGTGACATCATGAAGGTCAGCAGGAGATATATATATATATTTGTGTGTGTGTGTGTGTGTGTGTGTGTGTGTGTGTGTGTGTGTGTGTGTGTGTGTGTGTGTGTGTGTGTGTGTGTGTGTGTGTGTGTGTGTGTGTGTGTGTGTGTGTGTGTGTGTGTGTGTGTGTGTGTGTGTGTGTGTGTAAAAGATACTTGAAATATACTCATGAACTGTGAGTATAGACCCGATAAGCAATGGTGATGATAGAATATGATTGAATTTCACACTATGGACTCAAATCAATCTGTCCTCACACTGCCAACCTCTACACAGTTATTAGATAAAAGTCAATAAATTTGCCTTTCTACAAACTTTGTAAACCTCTTGTCATCCAGGCTGGTTAGATAGTCTAGCTATGTTTCCATGGCCCCACGTTTCCATTCATGATAATCTCTAAATAGTTCACATTTAGCAGATATATCAAAGACCGGTTGTATGTACATTTACTACAGCTTTGTCACAATCATTTAAATTCTCTTCAGAATTAACATTAAAAATTAGTTAGAAATTAAAAGTTTTTTAAGCTGAAGAACAGCATTAAGAAGGTCTATCTCGCTTTGTACTTCTGCAACGTGAAACCTCATCCATCTCTTCCAGTGTTAGTGAACACTAAACCTTGGGAAGAGACAATGACATTTAACTAACTTGCATTTAGACCGAAGGCTTGCTAACTTTAATGTGAACATGTATACACCCTATGAGTGTTACCAGAATGAGAATGAATATCTAGATAAGCTTGACTTCATTCATTCTTTGATTCAACATCATACGACTAGTGTTTATGTCATTGGTGATATGAATGCACATATCTCAGACAGGAAATCAATATTTGCCAATCATCTGGGTCAGTTTTGTCAGAATAATCCATAATTTTGTCAAGCAACATGCTTTTTTTTTTTTGCCTGCTGACAGTTTAACTTTAATATAAGTGAGGCCTGGCACACTGCATCATGACTGGACCACTGTATTGGCTGATGCACGAGCCTCATCAAGTTGTATGAATATTCTTTATGCTGCAACAGTGTAATATACTGTACCTCATATACCTCAAGATCATGAAGTATTACTACTATTTGCAATGTCAATTAATGTTGAATGTCTAACTGTACTTACCAGAAATCTAAATAACGCCAAAGCAGAAAAACTTGACTGGTCTGCTCTTAACACAGGAGGAAATCCTGGACTTTTATGTTCACGCTGACAAACCCTTCAGTAAAATTCCTCTAGCAAGAGATGCTGTTACAGTATGTATAGTGATGTTAATTGTTGCAGTGTTGAGCGTATGTATGTATAGAAAGCATAAGGCCTGGGTGGAGTGAGTATGTAGCTGGGTGTCATACTAAAGCCTGGTTGGCATTTATATCATGGGTAGTAGCAGGTAGACCCAGACAAGGGCCAGTGCCCAAGAAGCTTACTAATGCAAGTATGCCACCCGCTTTATTTGTAAAAGCAGGTTAAGAGGGTGGATTCTTCGGCCAAGAAACTGTTACATAACAATGTCTCTGGTTTCTGGAAGGAAGTAAGAGTTCAGTGTTTACCATTATATTAGGGGGCCCAGACTTGTGTATATATATGCACTAAAGGGAATTGTAAACAGGTACAGATGTCAGTTCTTATGAGTTTTAGTGATGCATCCAAATCGTTTTATCGAGTGAATTATAAAATGACCAAAAGAGGACTGCCAAAGATATTGTGAAAATCTTAGTTTATTTGTACGCCAACCAGACTATGAAGGTAAAGTGGGGCCAAAGTATGTCGGCGCTGTTTGATGTAAGTAATGGTGTGAGACAAGGGGGGATTTTGTCCCCAGTTCTTTTTAATTTGTATATTGGCAATCTGTCTGAGGAGCTGAAAGCCTATAAGACTGGGTGCATGATTGGTAACAGTTGAGTGAACCATCTTATGCTGATGATCTGGTTGTTTTTAGTCCCAAGTAGTGCTGACAGTGATGATATCTACAGGCAATGCTGCAAGTTGTATGCGCAAGCAAACATTCCTGCACGCAGGTTTAGTCTGTGTTCAGATGCTGTGAAGATGTTTTGTTAAAGCATTTGTACACCTCTGTACAGCACACTTCTGGACAAACTTATTTAGCTTACAATCACACTTTGAAAATACTAGTGAAGAGACCTAGATGGTGCAGTGCAAGTGAGATGTTTGTAACTGCACGAATAAATACTCTCCAAGCTGTATTAAGAAATCTTGTGTATACTGTAAATGTATTTGCTGACTCGGCACTTTTCAGAATTCAATCATCTTGGTCATGTCCAACATTAGATACAGTACTATTCATTACCAGTCCCAGTTATGTGGTTCAGATGCCTCTTTTTAAGATTGTTGTATAGGTGCGTATGTATGATTGTATGTGTGTCTGTGTATTATGTATTTTATATAAACTGAATTTGTATTGAGCTTTGAAAAATTCTCCTTCTGTCTTTTTATGTGCTGTGTTGTTTAACTTGACCTTGATTCTGTCGTAAAGTTTAAATTGGATTGGATTTAAAATGCAGCGTCTTACAACTACTAATATGAAATATAATGTAGTGATTGAGTCATAAAAACCAAACAATCAGATATAAGACAATAAAAAGCTTAGAAGAGCTAGAAAATCCGCAGAGGGGGCTTCTAGTATTGTAAGGCTTTAATTCCACCATCTATAGCCTAGCCTTTACATAAACACACGATTCAGTGCATGTAATAGCAAAAATATTGATCAATGTAACTTTGAGGTAATTGGTACTCATTTGGGAGTACAGGGAGAAAAGTCTACTGAAACACATTAGGAGCATTAAGTGCTTGAGTTTGTCAGCTGTTCAATTCAAAGTTTTATTGAATTTTTAGTTTATTCATTACTCAGATCGAACCCTGATACAGCCACAGACTCCCTTGTGTATGTAAATTACTCTCATTGTCTCATTAATCATGGTCTGGATGAGATTGTGACACAATGATAATATTAGACAGTCTCCTGGTAACATTTGATAATTAATAAATCTGTGCTCAGCTAAACTGTGAATCTCCCTCATTTTCTCCAAAGAGATCGATTGGTGTCATCTGGTTGTTGTGGTAAATGGAACTTTGGCTTGACAGCAGTGGAATGTTATTAGATGTTCACCTGCCTTATTTCATCTCTAAAGCTTGTGTACCTGTCTCTGCTACTGCATCGGAAGTTTATTCCTGATTCTCGGAGACTCACATGAAAGACGCTAGTGTTTATTACTGAAGCTGCTTTGCTCAAAGGAGCCAGTCAGTGTTTTAAAGTGGAACTGTCTCTGCTTTTTAGACTTAGATGAACGTTTCAGAACGGACTCATTCCTAGGTTTTGTTTTACGCGGTTACATGTCCTCGGAGTGATCTTTGTACAATTCTACATAATTTTGAGGTCAATGGTGTCCCCAGGCCACAATTAGAGATTCTTTTCAATCTATGTATTAACTTACTACCTGATTATTTTATAAGAAAATATATTTAGAAGATTTTAAAGCCCATTTTGTCTTCCTCAAATTTATTAACAAAAATGAATCCAACTAATTATCTTTGTTTGACCTTTAGTACTTTTCTTCCTAGACGCATACGACAAAATCAGTTTTCGGTTTGATGCAGATATTTCTGAGTCAGGCATGTGTATTGTCTCGACGTATGATACATATCCTTAGTAAACTCGTGGGCTGAATGTTTGAGAGTTTTCCCTCTAATATAAACACTGAAAGATGTCATCATCACCATCTGCACCAATAATCCCTCTCTGTTGAGCAGAGCCATCTTAAACAGGAGCCTCTCCTCTCGCCTCTCCTGCTTTCACAGAAAATGAGACATGTCAGTTGCTTAATGCAGTGTTGCTGTCAGATGTCTGTTTGAGATACTTGTGACCTGAAGTGACTCCAAATGACAGTTCATTACCAATGAGTGTCTAAAAGTGAAGATGTGGATTGAAATAAGTGCTTCTTGAATTAATGTTTTCAAGATAAGGTTCTCATAGATGTTGAAATACTTAAGTGAACAATCCTTTAAACTTCACTCTGAGTTAAAAAGTCTGTTTACTTCATCTCCAATGACACAAACATTGAGACGGTCTCAGTTGTGTCAAAATTGTTGGAAAAAGGGGGGGCGGCGTCAGCCTAGAGCGGTTAGTGCGTGCCTCAGGCTATAGTCCTACAAGTGGGTGGCCCGGGTTTGAATCCTATCTGTGGCTCCTTCCCGCGTGTCATTCTCCACTCTCTCCCTGATTTCCGATTCTAGGCACTAAAAGTCCAAAAATAAATATTAAAACAAAACAAAAAAAGTGGGGAAATATGTGTTTTCAGATATTCTGTATCCCATTATAACTTGTTTAAGCGTGTAAGTTCATCTCATTCACCTTTGTTATGCTGACTTTCCATTGAGAAAAATGTGGGAAAAAAAAACAGTTGTGCACAAAAATAAACGTATTGCAATACAAGAAAAAAATGGCCTTGCAAATTAGAAAATGCATTAATGGTCAATGGGATCAGGGTGCAGGAGTACTTTGAAGTCACAGTGGTTGCAAAACTACTCTATCCAGCTTCCATTCACTATTACCGGCCTCTGTTTCACCAGAAAGCCCCAAACATTATCAAAGTGGGCTGTGTCATCAGGGAACTGCTGCTGGATTAACTAACTGTCAGGACCTCTTCACTACCAGAGGCTAGTTGATGGATGCATGTCTTTCCATTTTATTTGATGAGGTTGAGAGATCAGCTGAACTCGTTGGAGTGTTGAAGTCCTTTTGCACTGTGCATCTCCATTTTGGTGACATTTCACCGTCACAGGTTT